TCCTTCCTTCCCTTCCTTTCCTTCCTCGCAAAGTCTTCTACAGAAAAACACAGTTTGCCACTTAAAAAGACTTATATTGAGTTCTCTCCCAATCGAATGGAAAACCCACCCCCTCTCACGGCAAGAGCAGGTGCAGGTCCAGGTTCGGATCATCTTCGGCCTGTGCGCGCTAGCGCAAAAGCTCGCAACAGCTCTGCTTCGCTTTCTTTGCGCCGAAGGTACGCCAGCTCATGAAAGCTGCCCCGGCTGCTTCACCGGGGCATGGTGAAAGCCTTTCAGGACCTACTTGTGAAACGCGGCCTGCATGTGATCCCAAATGAGCGCTTGACTTCCAAGCACGCGCCCAATGTCAAGATAGAACTCGGTTACATGCATTTCATCACTGAGTGGTGGCGGGCAGTTGAAGTTCAGGGAATAACCGAGCCTTAGCCGCAAGACAACCTTTCGATGTCAATCGCCAACAAAGGAGATATGGGAACTTCGTCCAAAGGAAGGGGCACTTCTTTCGTTACGCATCCGCCCGGTGGCACTTCAAGCACATAGTCCACACCCGTTACCAAGTTTTGCCTGAAGCTGGATGTTGGCTTGGCGGCTTGGCTGCGACAGGTGCTCCGACCACGCGCGCGCCTGTGATTCCAGGTCTTCTGCTGAAAGATGGTCCCCCGGCGCAGGGCGATCTGGAGGGTTTCCGAGGACAAGGACCTGCCAAGCACGGAAGCTGCAAGAGTGCAATCTAGAATCCCTTGAATGCATTCAGAGAAGCTTTGCCTTAGGGTCAGCGTCAGGTTGTTCACGCCGAGGCCGTCGGCAAGGACCTGCTCCAAAAGGACCAGCCCCTCGCCGAGCGCTGCCAGCAGGTCCTCCGGTGAGGAAGCCAACTGCTGCCTCAATCCTTCTGAGCCTATGGGCCTACAAAGCGAAAGGCCCCAACAAGGGGGGGCCGGAGGCCGGCGACCCCGTCGCCAGCGGTTCCCCAAAGCGTCCCTGTGTCTCTCAGTCCTCGCCGAGCCGAGGCGCCACCCGCTCCTCCGCCTCGGCTCTGCAAGGACACACGCGGCGAGCCGAAGTTGTTTTTTCTGCAAATGCCGATGGCGATTTGAGTTGTCTTCCCTCCCCTTCACCCCCGGCATCCCCGCCCCCGCCTTCTGGAAGCCGAAGACGGAGGGTGCCTTGAGCTCCGAGCTGCCAGCCAGAAAGCCTCAAAAAACTGGAAGCGAGCTTGAAGCACAAGAAGGCGTCATTTGCCGGAGAGGCAGCTCAGGTGGGCCATCATCTGACCGCTTGCCACTCCAGGAGCTTGCTGGCCGGAGTCGTATTCCTCTCTGGCCTCTCAGACCCAGCAGCGGCCCCAATCCCATTGAAAGACATTCCGAGAGCACCTGCTCGGCCAAAGCCCGCATGCGCTGCTGCTCGGATGCCCAAGCCGCCTTCTCGTGTTTTTCAGTACCGGGCGCACTCCAGGATGCTAGGCTTAAAAGGCCTCGCCTCCCATTCTTCAGGACTTCGGTACACGTCTCCCCTGGCTTGTGCAGTGGGAGCCACGCCCTCCCAAAGCATGAAGCCTCGGCTCAGAGAGAGGAGAAGACCGCGCGGCTCCCCCTCCCCCACAAATTCTGAGGCCTTGCACCTAAGAGCTTCGGGCTGCGCCGTGGGTCGGCTCCGAAAGCGCTCACGAAAGCTCGTGGCAGCTCTCTTCCTGTCGGCTTCGAGGCAGAACGAATGATGATGCCAGCATCATGAGCACTAACGAGCACCCACAAGCGCACTTGCAGAGTCTTGCCACACATTCTTTCTGACATCACCATGAAACGCCGTACGATCCTTTTCAGAGGCTTCGGCAGCAGTGCACCAGCGCTTAGAAGCAAAATGTGGCCCCCCCCTTTTGGTCCCCTGGGATTTTTCGCCGCCCAAGCACTGACTGACCTCCACATGTAGAGAGAGTGTCCGTTGCAGAAAGGTTTCGGCTGTTCACGATATGGACAAGCTCAACTCGAAGAACAGGTTTTGAATAGTAAAGCCATTAACAGTTTCATTAACAGTGCTAAGAGCACCAACAAGCAGCAACAACTGCAACAGCAGCAGCGGCAGCGAGAAAGACAACAGCAACACCCACACCTACCCCACGTCACTGCCACCGCTGCCGCCTCCAGAATCACCACCAGCGTGGCGAACGACGGGGCCGCAACAGCAACAACAACAGCATCTCCCCATCAACAGCATCGTCATAGCGATGAGTATGAGCACTGCGACATTCACGCAGCACCTGAAACAGTCCCCGTGGCCACTGACGGAGCAACGTTGGGGGCTTATGCTCCAACAACTCACAACAGATTGGGTTTCGACTCTCACGCTCGCACAGGGAGGGTTTAGACTCATTTAGACTACGACGGCTACTTACTGGGTTGCGAGTTTGAATGGATCGAGAGGCAGACTAGTGCCAGAACGGATAGAGCGACACACACTTGCAGCCGCTGCAAGGGTTGCGAAGTTCACGATAAAACCGCCGCGGCACCCTGTGTGCACCATAAAGGTTGCGAACTCCTGCAAACTGAGTGACGCACGACACGGGGGCACTGCATCAAGCCAGAACTACTGTCAACAGCCCTGTAAGGCTGTAAGGGTTGCGGGCTGTGTATCGCAAATCGCTTCTAGTGGACCGTCATCACGGCGAGCAGAGCACGCCGCTGACAAACACGTGGCACGCGCGGGCAAAGAGTGCAGCTACAAGCTGCAAGCCGTCTGCACTACACCGACAGCTAGCTTGCTCTCCGCAGTCGCTTGCCGTGCTACACACTGTTCCATAGCCTTGGACCTGGTCGCCGTCGAGCTCACAGCCCCAATCTAACCTCGGCCAATAGCCCAGCACTGATCATTTCGGGCGCTTTCCGTTATTGTTCTTGGGCCAATGTATCTTCAAGCAAGGCCAACCAGCAGCCTAAGCCTGCCAAGCAGCAGCATGTCCTCCAACTTCTGGCACAGGCTTGCATGCTCCTCGGCTGTGAGCTGGAAGTTCTTGCCACCTTTCTTTCCGTTCATGGTCCACCTGCGATTCACCGTGAGGGATAAGTCGGATAAGTGAGCACAGGTGGGTTGTCAAGGCCGTGGCATGGAGCCGTTCTCGACCGGTCCAGCAGATGCCTGAGGCAAAGGATATGGCTCTGTGGCTTTGCGTGGCTCAAATCAGTGGGCCTTTCCTGTGTACGGCAACATTTTCTTCGGGAATTGCCGAGTTTGATGGCGGGTCTGCCGGCAGTGGGTTGGGACGGCGGACGAAGCAAGCTCACCTCCGTCACCGAAGTATGAAGGATGGAGGTCCTTCTTATCCAAAGTCTTCGGCCACCTCCCCACGATATCCCAACCCCACAACCCTGCAGTCCTGCTTGGCTTCTGCATGCACTTGCGGTAAGCCCATATGATGCATAGCAAGTCTTGGTTTTGAAAGGGTTGATGCATGCCTACACAGGAACTCTTTCTTTCGTAGCCTCTTTTCCAGTCACATCCAGGCATTATGGATTAGGAGAAGGAAGTGAGATTGGTGCTTTTATTAAATGCAATGAAGAAACGAGAAGCTTTCTATCTCTCATGCTTTCCCTTTCGTTACAGCCGCCGTGTGAATTGATTAAAGGTAAAGTGGGTTTGTGAGGAAGGGAAAAGTGACAGTGAATCCTTATTTTGGTCTAACCGTTCACTGCCTTCGGGAATTAAATGTAATGGAAGCCCGAAATGAGGAGAGGTATAGGTGAAATGAGAATGAGCCGACATGGAGGTGTGATTGAATTAAATAAAACACGCATTCTCTTTGTTTAGTTTAATTCAATTCACCCTTCCTCCTATAACTTCATTCATGCTCTCTTCACCCGTTGTTGGTTCCAGCTCCGTGCTTCGTTCACATTAATAAAACACGCATTCCATTCCTTTCCATTTGTTTTTATTAATTATTCACTTCGCTCTTCTCTTACACCAGCACCAATCCCGTCTCCTCGCTTCGCTGTTCCGTTCATTTCATTTAAATAAACCGTGCTTTCACTCACTCCGTTCCCTTCATTACGTTAATTTAAATAAAATGGAACGAAACGGACGCTCCGCTCACTTATTATACTCATGGCTCTGGGTTGCCACTTTGTGTTCGGGCTCGGACTTCCATGAGTTGGCCTTGAATCTTTAACCAAACTCCCTGCCTGGCCATACGACATAACCTGTTCGATCGCGGGCTCGGAATCACAAGTTGTCTATACCACTTCTTTGAGACCGCAAGCCAACAAGGGTCTGAAGCGAGATCGTTGAGCTTGCCTCAAGGCCCTCAAGTGCACCCACGCCGCGGCAAAAAGGGCAAAAAGGAGCTTCGTGTGACGGGCTGCACTTGCTGAGTGCTGTTTTTGTGGCTCATGAGATGGCCATCAAAGTGGGCTACGGCTTTCGCAAGGCCTGGACCAGCTTGTTGGGATTGACGCGGAGGAAGCCTGAAACTCCGCACACAGACAAAAGCTCCGACTCCAAACCCTCCCACACAAAAACCCACACCGCCTTCCAAAGCTTTCTGGCTGGCGGTTTCGGCCCCGGGACGCCACTGGGCAGGATGGCAGGCCCTTGCAGGTGGCGGGCCGGGCATCCTAGGCCAGGCACCCACGCTCTAGACTCTAGACGCCGAGAGAAGGCGAAGCCGCGGCGGCCGCTCCTTGCGCTGAGCCCGCCACTCGCTGGGGCGCTGTTCTGCCGCCCTCTCTTCCAGGTAGTCCTGTCAAGACTGAGCCCGGCGCCGAGGGAAACTTAAGAAATGCCCATGAGCTTTGGCTGTTTGGCGGTTCTTCTGAGAGCTGGGAGCAGCTCGGAACCGCGGTTTACTCCTGCCCTCTCCTGCTCCTCTCCCGTGCAGAGGGTCTTGTGCTCTTGGGGCCAGGGTGGGCGCGGAAGCGTTAACTCCACGGCAGCAGGCTGTCAAGCCAGTGATGCTGTGTCGACAACATGAAGGTGGCAAGCCGTGGAGCCGTGCTGCTTCTTCGACAGGCCCTCGCATGCCTGGTGGTGCTAGCCCAAAGCTGTGGGTTGTGCAGGCTCACAACGAAGGAACCTCGCGCTCGTAACACCCCCTTTCCAGAAGCGACTTGCCACACTACAAGACCAAGCAACTGTGGCAGCACGGCCCTTTACAAGTGTGGACGCTGCTCTGTGCTGGCATGTGGTCACACTACTCCGCTATTCTGCTGTTCTGCCCGTCCTGCATCTCCCAGTGCTCTGCCAAACGCTGTGCTACCCGCTGGCGCTCTGCAGCGGCTCTTGCGAGGGCTCTCGATGCGTCTTCAGCTTTGTTCCTGCAGGAAAATCGGCAACTTGTCTGTATACCCCGGAGTAAAAGAAACACTACATTCTCGCTTGCGGATTGCCGTGCCTCAATCGCGCTACTGTGGAGTCTGCCAGACCGCAGTTCTCCAGCTCGATGCTGCAGCCCCGGTCGAGGGGGAAAGATTTCAGGAGCTCCGCCTCAGACGCAGCGGAGCGAAGCGTTGAAAGCTCTCCGCTCCATTTTTTCCCTCTTGAGACTGAGTTCAGCGGACCCCCAGCAGCGCGGCGGAGGAGCAGCCGGAAAGGTTGATGAAACCTCACAAGTAGGACATGCGACAGCTAGCTTACTCATAAGTAGTATGTATCATTTGGCCAACTCGGGCTACAAGTTGCATAACTTCACCGATAGTTCGCACAAATGGGCTCAGTAGAGCTGTAACTTCTGCAAAACTTAAAGAACGTAACAAAAAAACTGTTAAACTGTTATAATTAAGTTATTTTGCTTCCCAACGAGCCCGCATTGCAATGACATTAAGTAAGTGAAAAGTTCGAGGCTTTAGGGCGCAGAACAAGGGTTACCGGAAGTTATAGGAACTTATGAAACTGAACGAAAATTATTGCCTTTCGCTTTTTTCCAAACTGCATTCTAAAAACTGGTTTAAAACATGTGTTTTTTGTAGAGCATTTTCCGGTGTTTTGCATGTTTTCACTGCAGCGTTGGTACGCGACGGTGGCGTTCATGCAGCAGGGCATCGCATTGAGGACATGAAGTTGTACAAAGCATGGAATGGCCGGACAGCACCCATGCCAGCAAGATGTCGGGGCATGGCTGATGTTCGGATTTACAACTACTGTTTGTTGGCAGTCTTGCTTGCCCAATCCGATTTGACGCGCTCCGAATTATCCTGACATTGTCATCGCTATGAACAGAGATGACAGATCTCGGC